CAATCAGTCGGCCAGACAGTTGTCTTCCAGACATACACATAGACTTATACACAAATACACACACTTATACATATAGATAAATATTCACATACTCTTATACACACATGCATAAGGCACATGTACATGCACACAACACACACATGCTCAGACACATACACACAAACACATCTGCCTACATACAACACACATATACACACACCTACACAAAAATACACACATGCATATACATAGAACACATGCACACAAGCATACACAAATATATATATATATGCATACTCACAAACACATCTGTATATACAACACACATGCACACAAACACACAAATACATATACACATACAAACACAAACACAATCACATCTGTATATACAACACACACGCAGTACACATGCACATGTACACACACATACATGCCCGCATACATACCCATGCACACATGGCACAATCCAGCATACATTCACACACAAATATGTTCATGCACACATAATACATATGTACCTATATGCACATTAACACACACACATATGCTCACATATGCACACACTCCAGCACACCTATATACACAAAACACCTTTTCTTGTACACATGTATACATATATGCACACACATTTGCACACACACACAGTTGCACACATGATATATATGTGCATATATACACATGCCCACACATACATACACTCACACAAACACACTCACGTGGCTACAGGCATACATGCATACAAACACATATGCACACCCACAGGTACTCACACACACACACACACACACACACACACACACACCCCTCCTGCCACACTGAATTGCTGCCCTTCAGGCACCGATCTCAGAACCTTGTGCTTCCTCTCGTCCCTCCGCCAGGGTTGTCCTTTCACTGCCCCTTCTCCTAGATGTATTCTCCACATCTGACCTGGCAGTGCATCTATCACCACCTCCAGGAAGCCCACCTTGTCTCCCAGGCTGGTCAGATGCTTCTTAGGGCCCCCACATCACTGGACATCCCTCCTTGACTGCACCCTCTTGCTAGGTGATCTCTCTGGGTCTGTCCCCTGGGTGTGGAACTTCTCTGGGTCCCAGCATCCAGCTAAGACAGACACAGAACATCTCACAGGCAGCATCTCCTGGTGCTCACAGCATGTGATCCCCATGAGGGCTCCCTCAGCTACCTACCATGGGACATACCACCTACCCCGTCTCTCCAGGAATCTCAGTGCGTCCAGGTAGCCTTGTCTGCAGATGTTGGCCACTGTCTGAAGGAACACGGGTCGGGGGAGAGATGTCTGTCTTCAACTGGAGGTGATCCAGCCCAGCCTACACTTCCCAACTGATCCCTCAGCAGGACTCAGGGGCCCAGAGACCCCAGCACTTGTCAAGACCACAAGCAGGACAGATGCACCCATAAAGATTCCCTCAGTACCCCACTTCACTCCTCCCCAGTCCCCTGACCAGGTGGCCCAGCTCCACCCACACCCCTCTCCTGCCTCAGTTTCTCCATCTGGAAAATGAGACAATGAGGCCTGACCCAGGACAGCTGGGACACCAGCACAGGTCACTGGCCCCTTGGCCACTTGATGCTCATTTCCAGGACTGGCCTGAGAGTGGCAGAGCATCCAGGAGCCCAGCCCTGTCCATCTCCATGGGAGACCTGCGGGCAGAAGGGCCAGATCCAGGAAGGAGATCTGTACCCTCTTGCTGTGGGACCTCTGGTCGCTGACCAGCTTCCCTAGAGCCTGTTTACTGGTCTGTAAAATGGGACAGATATCTTCTGTGCCCCCAACCCAGGGATGTGAAGAAGGCCAAAGTAAATGAATAGGACTTTGTTTTGCAAAGTATAAAGTAGAAGGCCAACACAGGAGGAGGGAGGCATAGGGGATCATGGGGGAGGAGATCAGTGTGATGATAATCTGCTGTCACATTACCCATTTTTCCAGAAAAGAAAAAAATAGAATATTTGTCATCAAGTTGACTTCATACATGTCAGAGTAAAACTGTGCTCCATGACGTTTTAGAGCTAGATCAACAGGGCTTACTTCAGAGACACCTCTGGGTGGATTTGAATTGACAATCTTTCAGTTAGCAACTGAGCACATTACTGAGAAGCAAAGAACTGGAAATGTCCATCTGGTTGATATGGATTAAATTGTGTCCCTCAAATATATGCACTGTAAATCCTAACAACTATACCTGTGGTTATAAACTCATTTGGGAATGGGGTTTCTTTCTTACCTTAATGAGATAATCCATGTTGGGTATGTCTTAGATCAATCTCTTTTGAGATATCAAAGAGCATATGAAGCAGACAAGAAAGCAGAGATGAGGGAAGACAGATGCCATGCCATATTAGCTTTCCAAGGAACCAGAAGCAGAGACAAAACTTTCCTCTACCGCTGGCACCTTGAATTGAGACTTCTAGCATCCTAAACTTTCAGGCCACCACTCGTCTGTCATTTTTGCATATTATAGTGGCCTGTGTGTTGCTTGGTGAATAGGTTTCAGCTTAGTTTCCAGACTGACACAGACTAGGAAGAAGAACAGGTGGACTGCTTCTGAATGGCTAGCCACTAAGACCTTATGAACAACAGTGGAATATTGTCAGATAAAGCACCTGAAGATGAGTCTCTCAGATTAGAAGATCCTCGAAATATGACAGGGCAAGAGTTGTCATTATAAAGTAGAGTTGACCAGAATGACTCGAATGGAGCAAGGCTTTCAAGAACCTTCATTTGCTGCTGGAGCACAAATCAAAATGAGAAGAAACAGCTTCACATACCCATAAGTAATCAGAACATGGAATGTACAAAGTGTGAATCTAGGAATATTGGAAGCTGTCAAAAATAAGTGGAGCACATAAATATCAATTTCCTAGGCATTAGTGAGTTGAAATGGACTGGTGTTAGCTATTCTGAATCAGATAATTCTCTGGTCTACGATGCCAGAAATGTCAAATTGACAAATAGCATCACATTCATCATCAAAAAGAACAGTTCAAGGTCGATTTTGAAGTACACTGCTATCTGTGATAGGATAATATCCATATGCTTACAAAGAAGACCAGTTAATATCACTATTATCCAAATTTACACACCAACCACTAAAACCAGTGATGATGAAATTGAAGAACACTACCAATGTCTTCTCTACTATTCATAAGGTTTTCAGTGACTAAATATTCAGAAGTAGTTCATCGCTCCTTCTTCCTAGTCTGCCTTCATCTGGAAGCTCATCTGAAATCTGTCCACCATGGGTCACCCTGATGATATTTCAAATACTGGTGGCATAGCTTCCTGAATCACAGAAACTCACAAGCCACCACAGTACGACAAACTGACAGACAAGACGGCCAAACTTCATCCCTCATACTTTGGACGTATTGTCAGGAGGGACCAGTCGCTGGAGAAGAATATCATGTTTGGTAAGGTGGAGGGTCAGAGAAAAAGAGGAAGACCCCCAACAAGATGGAATGGCCAAGTGGCAGCATTGATGGACTCAAGCATGGCAGTGTTTTGTTCTGCTGTGCATAAGGTCGCTATGAGTCAGTACCGACTCTATGGCACCTAACAACAAGAACAACCAACCATCTTCAGTCTGGTGTTGACCAAACATGCAATCAAGATGCATTGTTAATTATTGGTGATTGAAACAAAGAAGAAGGTCCAATAGTTGGAAAATATGGCTTTGTCTATAGAACTGATGCTGTTGTTGTTGTTGTTAAGTGCTGTCAAGTCAGTTCTGACCCATAGCGACCCTGTACAGGGTTTCCGAGGGTGTAAATCTTTACGGGAGTAGAAGGCCTCATCTTTCTCCCGCGGAGTAGCTGGTAGTTTAGAACTGCTGACCTTGCGGTTCACATAGAGATCGCATAATAGAATTTTGTAAGATCAATGACTTCTCCATTGGAAATACATTTTGTAAGTAACATAAAAGATGACTGTACACATGGACCTCACCAGATAGAATACACAAAAATCAAATTGACTACATCTGTGGGAAGAGAAGGTAGAAATGACAAATTCAGGTCAGAGGCAGAATGTGGAACAGTTTGCCAATTGCTCATATGCAAGTTCAGCCAAAGCTGAAGAAAATTCAAACAAGTCCACAAGAGCCGAAATATGACCTTGAGTATGTCTCACCTGAATTTATAGACCATTTCAAGATTTGACGCCTTAGACACTAATGACTGAAGACCAGAAGAGTTGTGGGATGACATCAAAAACATCACAAAAGAAGTAATCAAAAGGTCATTAAAAAGACAAGAAAGAAAGAAAAGACAAAAGTGGATGTCAGAAGAAACTCTGAAATTTACTCTTGAATATAGAGAAGCTAGATGAAATGGAATAAATGAAGTAAAAGAGCTGAATAGAAAATGTCAAAGAGCAACTCGAGAAGACAAAATCGAGTATTATAATGAAATGCGGCAAATATCTGGAGTTAGAAAACCAAAAGGAAAGACTGCTCAGCATCTCTCAAGCTGAAAGAACTGAAGAAGAAGAAGAAAAAAAAAAATGAAGCCTCAACATACAATATTGAAGGATTCTGTGAACAAAATATTGAATGAGACAGAAACCATCAAAAGAAGATGGGAGGAATACAGAGTCATTGTAGCAAAAATAATTGGTCTATACTCAAATACTTCAAGAGATAACATACCACCAAGAACCCATGGGGCTGAAGTCTAAGTTGCACTGAAGGCACTGGTTAAAAACAAGACTCCAAGAATTGATGGAGCACAAGTTGAAATCTTTGAACAAACAAATCTTTGAGCAGCACTGGAGGAGATAACACATCTATGTCAAGAAATCTGGAAGACAACAATCTGGCCAACTAATGGTAAGAGATCCATATTTGTGCCAATTCCAAAGAGAGTTGACCCAATGGAATGTGGAAATCATTACTACAGATGCAAGTAGAATTTTTCTTAAGATAATTAAAAAACAATTTGCAACAATACAAAGACAGATAACTGCCAGAAATTCAAGCCAAATTCACAAGAAAAACAGAACTAGGAATATCATTTCTGACATCAATTGAATGCTGGTTGAAAGCATAGAATACCAGAAAGATGTTTATTTCTGCTTTATTGATTATTCAAAGGGTTTTGATTAGGCATATCATGATAAACTATCGATAAAATTGCCAAGAACAGATATTCCAAAACACTTAATAGTGCTCATGAGGAACTTGCATGCTGACCAAGAATTCTTTGTTAGAACAGAACAAGGGGACTCGGAATGGTTTCAGATCAGGAAAGGTGGGTGTGTGTCAAGGGTGTATTCCTGCACCATACTTATTCAATCTGTATGTTAAGCAAATCATGTGGAAATTTTGATTATATGAAGAGGAATGTGGCATCAGGAATGGAGGACGATTCATTAACAGCCTGCAAGATGCAAATGACACAACTTTGCTTGCTGGAAAGAAAAGGGACTTAAAATACTTACAGATAAAGATCGATGATTACAGCTTTCAGTACGGATTGCATCTCAATATAAAGAAAACAAAAATCTTCACCACTGGACCAATAAATACTATCTTTATAAATGGAGAAAAGGTTGATGTTGTCAAAGACTTCATTTTGCTTGAATCCGTAATCAACATTCATGGAAGCAGCAGTCAAGAAATCAAATGACATAGAATTGCATTAGGCATATCTGCTGCAAAAGACTCTTTAAAGAGCAAATACATCAGTTTAAGGACTAAACTGTGCCTGAACCAAGCACAAATAAAAGTTGGACAGTAAATAAAGAAGACCAGAGAAGAATCGATGCATTTGAATTATGGTGTTGGCGAAGAATAGTAAAAGTACCGTGGACTGCCAGAGAACAATCAAATTTGTTCTGGAAGAAGTACAGTCAGAATGTTCTTTAGAATACAGGATGGCAACACTTCATCTCTCATACTTTGGACATATTATGAAGAGGGACCGCTTCCTGAAGAAGGACATCATGCTTGATGAAGTGGAGGGCCAGCAAACAGGAAGAGGACCCCCCCAGTGAGATGGACTGACTTAGTGGCAGCAGCAAGGGGCTCAAACATAACAATTGTGATAATGGCACAGGACCACACAGTGTTTCATTCTATTTTGCATAAGGTCGCTATGAGTCTGAACTGACTTGATGGTACATAACAGCATCACATGGAAGACCAGTTAATACCATAATTATTCCAATTTATGCACCAAACACTAAAGCCAATAATGATGAAATTGAAGAATTCTACCAAATTCTTCAGTCTGCAATCGATCAAAAA